GAAATACCGCACAAATATTGTGTTTCTATTTTTTAAATGTGGTGATTAAGTATGTGTAGTTCTGTGTAAGAAATAGTGTGTGTGTGTGTGTTTATTTTTGGTGTCGAATATAAAGAAAATAAACATGTACCATGTGCGATAGTCGTATGAGTGTGTGTTATGTGCATGAGAGGTATCATATGCATAATCAATTTTGACGATTTAGTGAAAAATTTTCACTTAAAACTTTGTACAAAAATTTAGTAGTACTTAATACATTAAGTGATAAGGCATTTCCATTATTAAACATGGTGAATTCAAAAAATTTTAAATGAATTAATTTTCAGCATTAAGTAGATTTTTCAGACACCTAGTCAGAGGCATTATTGACGGTACTAATTGATTGTAATAGCTAAGTGAGGGGAGGATTATTTAGACCTCAGCACTAATTGACTGTAATAGCTAAGTGAGGGGAGGATTATTTAGGAAGTTTATTTCTTTAATCGTTGCATAACTCAGGTAGATTGTTAAGCTGTTCACCTCTTCTTACTTGATTGGTTATACTGACATTCCAGCATGCTTTTGATCTAAGATTATTTGTTTTTCAGTCAAAAATATTGGTGGGATTTGTAAGAAAAAAACAAAAAAAAAAAAGATGGGGATGTCTAACTATTTGTTACTATTGGTCAACCCTGTTTGGCATTTGAGTTTTTTTGTCAAGTTTGTCTGCTACAAGTTTTTTACAAACTTTAACTACAGTAACCTCAAAATTTTTTTCAAAGTTTTTAAGCTATACACTTCAAAATATTCAAAAATTTACACACTTCAAAATTTTTTTAAAAAACTTCTACAGTAAGTTACAGTAAAATTTTAGACAAACATCCAAAAAACTCACTTACCAAACGGTCTGTGTTGTAGGCCAAGCCGATATGTTTCTTCTTCTTCTTCTTTTGGATTTCCAGGTACGGTACCAACTCGCCGGATTACTTCAAAAAATGCAAGCCCTATGAAGTCAAATTTGGGGTCAAGAATTAGACAAAGGAGAATTCTAGGTACACCTGGGTTGGCCTTTTATTCTTAACCATTGCATGCTTGGATTGAGTGATCAGGTATAAAGGACCGTAAGTAGGAAATTTTGAATTCACATATTAAAAAAAAAAACTTGTTTCGTAGTCCAACTTTTAAGTTTTTAGAGCATTTCTCTAATCTCTCTCAATACTCCTCCACTCCACTGTCCAATAGTTGTTCTAGGTAGATTATTTCGCCTCTTTTATTAACATTCTCTAGTTTTATACTCGACCCCTTTTATTAGAAGTCTCTATTTTCTCAAGAATGCATTATTTTTTCAATTAATTCAAAGTTCTACGAGTTTCTAATAAGACTCCAAATACTCTTCCAATTATGTAGACTGGTATGGCAGTATGTACTTCCAAGTATTAATGCATTGATCTTTATTATCAATTTACTCATTAATATATCTCATAATACACTTAAAGGTTAGAACAACAATGAGATTAAAGCTTCCGCATAGTCAAGAAGACTAGGTAACGTTAGCATAGCCAAGAAGGCGGACTCTGTTTGATAATCCAATTCAGCACTTTATTTTAATAAATTCAGATCTTAACATGTTCAGAGTTTGATAACTAAAAATTGAACATCTGAATTAATTAAGTGCCATTGAATTTTCTAGATAAAACTTGTCTCAAAAAATAAGTGATAAACTATTCGTTTATCAATGAATGTGATATACATTTAAATATATAACATGTTATACTTAACAATTCAATAACTTAGATCATATTTGATAACCCAATTCAGCACTTAAACTTAATGGATTCAAATCGTAACATGTTTAGATGTGTTTGATAATCAAAAATTAAACATTTGAATTAATTAAGTAGCACTAAATTTTTTAGGCAAAATGTGCTCCCAAAAATAAGTGATAAACTATTCACTTATCACTGAATATAATATACATTTAAATGTATTAGATTTAATAGGTTAAAGGATTCAAATTTCAAATTTCAAATTTTAGATTTTCAATTTTCAGATTTTAGTTTTATTAAACGCGTCCTTAGTGGACTCAGACTTCAGATTTCACATTTCAGTTTTCAAACTTCAATTTTATCAAACACATCCTAAGTAAAGACAAGGTAAAGTTACAAAATCTTTTTGTCGCGACACTTTAGTATCATGTCGAAGTCTAGATGTGGTATAAATTAATTTTGAAAGAGTCGATTTGATATTCTCCGGACTTATACAAGGGCTTGTTTAAAAAAAAAAGACTTATAGAAGGGCTTGGGTCCGTCCATGCTTGGGCCGCTTAAAACTTATGGCTTATTTATAGGCTTATGTTTGAACAGCTTCATTTGGGCCAATGATGGATCCATAATTGTACTGCATTGCTTCGAATATTAGTAAGGATAAATTTTATATACACTAACAGTACATATATTATTACTGTTAGATTCATGACAAATGTACAAAAATTGTATTTTAAATTCAAATTTTGTATAATTGTAATTTATTCAAGACTAATAATTGTCATTCATCCAAGACTGATAATGCACACTCAAGAAAGATTAATCCTATTACTAATACGTAAACATAAACGTATTACTAGTATTTGCAGCCATGAAGATTAATCATATATTAACGTTTGTTGAAAAAAAAAAGAAGAAAAAAAGTGAAGTTTAAGCTCAACAAATATTTTGAAGAAGTTACGCACCTTTTGATATTATATTTCCATTTCAATGGGAAAGGTATGCATTATTATATGTGAATACATTTTAAGTTTAAGCTTTATAATTTATATTTGCAAATTCAAATGAGAAAATGTCATTTGTACTCTCATTTTTTTAATCACACACTTATAATCATTTTAATCATATAGTTTTTATGTATTAGATTATATGATAAAATAAATGGTGGGAGCACAAATAACAAAAAATGAAGTGCATATAGCATTTTCCATTCAAATGGCCCAACTCTGAACGATATCGGCGCGGTTGTTCATCTTATAATTAACTGTCCTAAGCGACTGCATAAATTCATATAGGAAATAGCATTTGGACGCACTCTAATATAACATGTAAAAATTCATTACACCATTCTCTAAGAATAAAATATCTTTTCAAAATTGGAGATTAAAAATTGATCAAGACCTTTCATTTGATAAATTGGCATTTATAATTCATATCCCACCATAAACCTTTTTCCAATTGTTGAGCCTCTTTTCTAGATCTGAGCATTTATTTTCAAATTGACCTGATTGAAAGAGCATTTATTTTCAAATTGACCCGAGTTCAAACCTGAAAAGATTTGCCTATTAGCCTTCTTTTTGCAATGGGAGATCAAGATGTTACTATTTTTCTTTAGCAACTATTTTCTCAAGGGATAATTTCAGAAACCTCCCTTGAGGTTTCTGACAATTTCACTCTGCTCCCCTTAGGTTTAAAAAATTACACTTACCTCTCTTGGTATAGTAAAATACCTATAATACACTTCATTTGGTAGAAAATTTTAAATTTAATGCAATAAATTTACAAAACCCAAAAAAAAAAAAAAATTCTGTCTATTGTCTATTTTCATTCCTCTCTTTTTTAGTTAATATACCCTCTTTTTATTATCTTCAATTTTGTGGATATTAGCAAATTAAAATTATAAAATCAACAGAGGGGGCGGCAGATTATGTATGAAATTAGAAGAAAATGAAGAGACTTGCAGTGATAGAAAGATAAATAATGAAATTGATGATTGAAATAAGAAGAAGAACTAAAGATGTTGAATTTGTCATATTTTATTTGTTGTCAAGAAATTTTTTTATAAAATGTCAAAAATTACATAAGGATTTCTTTCATTGGATTAGAAATTTATTATTATTATTTTATTTTAGAGGTAGAATTTATTCTCTATTTTTGAAATATTAATATTTTTAAGACCATAGAAGGGTTGTAATAGCGATTCAAAGTCAGGTTAATTTATATTGAAAGGTATTTGAGCATTGATATTTAATTTTGGGGTATAAAATTAGTTGTCAATGGGGTTTGTGTGTGTGTGTGTGTTTTTTTTTTATTTATTTTTTTTACGTGGCAAGTATTGATACTATACATGTAATTTGGCATCCTTTGGATGACTATTTGGTTTTAAAACTTATGCTCGGATGGTTGTTAGGGATTGGATTTATTGATTTGTGCAAAGTGTGGAAGAAAAGAATTGAGTATACTATATTTTTCTTAGTTTAAAGGGCAATTTAGGAATTTTGTGAGAAAATCTATATCGTTGGACCTATATTATTACTAAACAGTAAAGTAGGGGAGATATATGTAATTTTTAAAACCTGAAGGAAGCACTCTGTAATTGTAAAAAAACCTCAGGGAGGTTTGTGAAATTATCCCTTTTCTCAAACATATTTTACTTGCTAATACAATTACAATTTTTAATCAACCTTTTGTATTCCCAGCAATCTTTTTGTTTGATGCGCATTATATTACGATGTGATAGAGTAATTATTTTAAATAATCTCCTATTTAAACACACTCAACGCTGTTAGATTTGCATTCCATGAATGTAACAAAGTTGCTGTGTTTTTCTACAAATACATTTACAGCATGTTGGCACTCTATTTTGGATAGTAATTTCCCATACAACATTTTCGTAGAGGATGATAAGAGTGGGAAACAGTTCATATGGGAAGCTATACGCCTGTACCTTCTCTTTCAATACAGGAACCTTCTCTTTGAATACAAGCTTGCCTTTCTTCCCCCAAAAAAAAAAAAAAAAAAAATCTTCAAAATAGGAAAAAAAAAAAAAGGGAATATTGACTAGATGGCATCTTAACCTTAATGGTAGATGATTCCTACGGCAACCAGACTTCGGACAGCCTACGTTAATAGCAGTTGTTCGAGTGCACCAATTACAAAGCCCCACGTTATTGGATAATGCAACGCGTCACCTAATCAAACGCTCGCACAAACTATTAAACTGAGAATAAATACACCCAATCTCTTCCGACCAATTTATAACCAAAGTCCACTAGGGTTTCCAAACAACCTGAAATGCTATCCATTTCTTAGGGCTTTCAAGTTTCGATCTTTTTTCCTCGTAATCTCCCTCTATATACCCAACTAAATAAATCAGCAGATTCAAATTTCGTTTAATTTCATCAAAGATTGAATCTGTTTTTCAATTTTTTTTTTCTGTTTAATTTAAGCTGGGAATTCTATTTTTTTGTTGATTTTTTTATCATACACAAATTATGCCTCCAAGAGCGGCGAAGAAATTGCCCCCGGGGCCGGGGTCAAAGAGGGGTGGAAGGGGCGGGAGAGGGGCCGGGAGGGCCCAAGCCAAAGCGCAAGAGCCCGTTGATGAACCTATCAAAGTAGAGGAGGTACGTGCCGTGGAATATAAAAGGTCACCGCCGCCACCTTTCACGGTGGCGGAGTCGAAGAAAGAGGCGAAGTTGGAGAAGGAGCCTGAGGTTAAATCAGTGGACAACGGAGTTGCTTCTCGGAGAAGTGAGTAATTTAACTCTCAATTTCTGCTATTTTTTCCTATGATTTGAACTCTCAGTAACTTTACCTGAATTATTCTGATAACTCGTATGATAAAATTTTGAAAAGCCCGAATATCTACAAAATTGCTTTTGCGGCTAATTATATAAGTCCGAGCTTTCTGTACTGAAGCTCATTGAATATCATTAGGTTTTTTCTTCCTGAAGCTAATTTTATATTTTCTGTTTATGTTTTGTTTTATTTTTGGGGTAGGCAAGAACGTGAATAGGTTGTATTTTGGGTATCTTCTCCAAGAGAATGTTGCTTTTTGTCAGTTGCGGAATGGAAAAATTGTTAGTTTCAATTCTGACTGTTAAAATTCAGTTATGTTGGATAATAAGTTATTGAGGCAATTAAAAGCATGAATTCTGACTATTTTTTATGGGTCTGCTGATTTGGGTCTCTTTTGACAAGTGGAAGTGTATCTTTTAATAGCTTTTAGGTATTTTTAGAGACGTTTCAATGCTTTTTTGTTTTTATTGGTTCGGATACAAATGAGGGAGGCGGTATGCGCAAGTGAAGTATTGGGTGAGAGTTGCGCTGCTCTAATTTATATCAGGACGAGGAAAAGTTCTCTGTTTTAACTTTTGATGGCTGGATGACGTCATGAAATATTTCTAGATGGTGCATATACATGTTTCTACCAATAGCAACTGATTCTAGCTTCATTGCATTATCATTATTGCTTTGTGAAATAATTCAATTCCAATTTTCATGTCAATTCTATTTGTGGTAACTTCTTTTCACTGTACTTCTATCTTCTATATGTTTGGTTTAAAGCTCCTGATGACTTACCCTAAGGATATGTTCTATTGGCGGAAAGAAGACCAGAATCCTCCATTTTTTTCTATTTCCCGATAAGGAACCAGTTGTAGCCAAAATGGAAACTACAAAAGGTTCTACTTGTGTCTACTGACAAGAAGGAAAAGAGTGTAAATTCTAGTTTTGGACATCTGTGCGCCTAGCTACTTGCTATCTTGTAAATATTACTGCTCTCCGGGATGTTCAATAAACCAGATTTTGTTGTATACCAGTGAAAAGTCTATTATAGGGGAGATACACTTTTCATCAAGCATGATATTGTTTCTTTCTGGATTTGATATGATGTGATCAACAAATCTCATTTTTAAGTTGGTTATGAATGGGAGGTAGAATTTATTGTGGTTTCATTCTGCTGACTGGCCTGGATAACTTCATCTCCTTTCTAACAGAAGATGACGATGTGAAAGAGTCTGGTGATGAGTTTGAAAGGGGTGAGAGGTTAGATTTGGAGGATAATGATCCTGAGTATGAGCCAGAAGAGTATGGCAGTGTTGACTATGATGAGAAGGAAATTGAGCAGGAGGATGCTCGAGAAGAATTGGATGAAATAGAAGAAGACCCTGTTGAGGAAGAGGCTGACATAGTTGAGGAGGAAATTGAAGATGTTCAAGAGGAGCTTGAGGGTGAGGAAGATGATGAGCATGATGTTGAGGAGCGTGCTGAGATGGTTGACAATGAAGAAGAAGAGGACCACCATGAGCTTGTCAAAGAAAGGCGCAAGAGAAAGGAGTTTGAGATTTTTGTTGGGGGTTTAGACAAGGATGCTACTGAGGATGATCTTAGGAAAGTCTTCAGTGAAGTTGGTGAGGTTACTGAAGTTAGGCTGATGATGAATCCTCAGACTAAGAAGAACAAGGGATTTGCCTTCCTCCGTTTTGCAACTGTAGGACAAGCTAAACGAGCTTGTTCAGAGCTCAAAAATCCAGTGGTATTTTTCTGATTCTTAGTTCTGAAGAAAACTCAATTTAGTTCATATGTTGAATTACATTTTTTGGCAACCCCAAATTCCAGGTGCATGGAAAGCAATGTGGTGTTACTCCAAGTCAAGACAGTGATACTCTATTCCTGGGTAATATTTGCAAAACGTGGACAAAGGAGGCTGTAAGTAGTTCAGGACAAATAAATGTTCCACAATGAAGTGTCAATCTTCGTGCTTTTAATTATTAAGATAAGATTTGTTCATATGTTGTCTTACTGATTTTAATGTGCTTCCAGTTGAAAGAGAAGTTAAAGCAGTATGGCATTGAAAACATTGAGGATCTTACATTGGTTGAGGACAGTAACAATGATGGACTGAATCGAGGCTTTGCTTTTCTTGAGTTTTCTTCTCGTTCTGATGCCATGGATGCTTTTAAACGTTTACAGAAGAGAGATGTTGTGTTTGGAGTTGATAGGCCTGCTAAGGTTTCTTTTGCAGATTCCTTCATTGACCCTGGTGATGAGATCATGGCTCAGGTAACAGACTCAGACCAACATTTCTACACCAACTGGAAGGATCTTGTACTAGGGTGGTTTCCTTTGATCCTTGTTTCTTTTTCTGTTCTTCTGGTGATCATTATGCGTGACAATGACATTTGGAGAGCTTTAGATATTGGATTTGACGGGATAATTTATTTTGTGGTGTTGAATTTTTTTTTTCTGCGTTGACATTTTTTTGCCCAAATATTTGCTAGGAAGGGTAGTGATGCATTTTGATTTGGTGGAGTTTAATCTGCAGATTTGGGTTTTATCTGCTTAGTTTGGGAGTAGTTTAGCTTCCCTTGAGGCTTCAAATACTAAAGTCAAAGCTGGATGGTTCGTGATTATTTTTTATGTTTCTGCATTCAGGTGAAAACGGTTTTTGTGGATGGGATTCCCTCTTCTTGGGATGAGGATCAAGTACGTAAACTTCTGAAGACCTATGGTGATATTGAAAAGGTTGAGCTTGCACGCAACATGCCATCGGCCAAAAGAAAGGATTTTGGATTTGTCACGTTTACCACCCATGATGCTGCAGTTACATGTGCCAAAAGCATCAATAACGAAGAGCTGGGTGAAGGAGATAGCAAGGTGGGTTCTTCATTTCTTTGGGTTCTTTTTGTTGTTTTCAAGCTGCTTTACCAAATTATGCTCTTTCAGGCAAAAGTTAGGGCCAGATTGTCTAGGCCACTTCAGAGGGGCAAAGGAAAACATATTGCTCGTGGGGACTATCGACCTGGCCGTGGGCCTGTTCGGGCTGTAAGGGGTCCATGGAGCCGTCCAGTTCCACATGCTATCCCTGTTCGTGGAACAAGAGGTGTTCCACCACGTATGCCACCTGTTGTGGATCGTGGATTTAGAAGGCCTGCTGGTTTCAGAGATAGACGCCCAGTTATGGACATTCCACCACCTAGGGCCAGAGCTGTGGCTCCCCCTCCAAGGTCCTATGAGAGGAGACCACCTGGTATGCAGATATGCACGCTTCTATATTATATTCAAAGTTGCTGTGTTGGTATATTATCATTATTGACATTTGCACCTGCCCCAGTTGAACCATATCCTAAGAGTAGCTTGAAAAGGGATTATGGTCGCCGTGAAGAGCTTCCACCAAGGAGTAGAGCAGCTGCAGAGTATAGTTCTAGAGTTCCTGCTGACAGGCGTGCATCATATAGGGAAGACTATTCATCTCGTGGATCTGGCTACCCTGATCTGTCTAGAGTTCCTTCTCGTCCAGTGCCAAGAAGGGATTATGTTGATGATGGTTATGGGCAAAGATATGATAGGCCACCTCCAGCCTACCGTGAAAGCCGTGGCCGGGAATACGATTCAATGCCTGGGTCAAAGCGTCCATACAGTGCCTTGGTAGTTAATTCTTTTGGGCTGTTTGATATTTGATCTGGTGTTTGTTTTTTCCCTGTTCATGACTTTGGTAAGGCTGCAAGATCTAAGTTGACTTTGTTATACATGCAAGGATGACGTACCTCCACGCTATGTGGAGGCAGGGGTACGCCAATCTCGTGCTCGTTTGGATTATGATCTTAGTGGCAGTGGCAGTGCTTCTCAATATGGGGATGCTTATGGTGATAGGTAATATTTTCTTAAACATCAAGTAATTTGCTTTCCTTTATCCAACTGGAGTAATTTGCCTTTTTTTTTTTCCATGGAGTAACTTGCCAGTGAGATTTGGGAAGTTATTGATTTAATTTCAACATCTATTAATTGATTTCAGACTTGGGAGGTCCAGTGTAGGATATGGTGGTAGCCGAAGTTCCATGTCCAGTCAAGATTCCCATGGGCTTTATGGTGGCCGCCAGGCCATGGGATATGGTGGAGGTTTGACCTAGTTTTGCTATACATTGATATATTGCAAAATTGGCCTTCAGTTTTTAGTCTGCATTCATATGACACACATGATTGATTCTGAATCCATTTGCTCTATGAATTCATAACTGTACAAGATGAAACTTTTTTATGATGTCTTGGCATTTGGTGTCATGGTTTGCAGGCTCCTATAGTGGTAGTGATGTTAGTGGGATGTACTCATCAGGCTTTAGTGGTGATTACATGCCTCGTGGTAGTGACGTAAGTTTTTTGGCTTCTCTTTTACGGTGACTTCCTTTTTCTATGATGCTTATTTGGAGCGGTCAGGCATGCTTACCCTCTTTGTCATCTTTTTTTTTTGGCCCCATTTCTGTGAACTGCAGGTTGGTGGAAGCTCATATTCTTCACTCTATTCTGGTCGTGGCATGGGTGGTAGTAGTTATATGGGAAGTGGTGGTTCTGGATCTTACTATTGAGGTATGTGATTTTGTTGCTTCACGAGTCATGGCTTTATATTTATAAGATATTTATAAGTGTCAACTAAGCTAGATAGGATTAAGCTGTCTGCCCCTGGATTCCCATTCATTTTAGTTGTGGTAAAGGGAAGTGATGAGTTTTAAGTTATGTTTATGGTGCATAAGAGCTATCTGTGAAGGAGCATCTTGGTTACTCGTCAACTTGTATGTACAGATCTGATTTGACAAAGAGGCTAGGATTTTGTGGAACTCTGAAACTCATTTTGATCCCATCAGTTTGAGATGTGAAGCCTTTTCGTGGCTGGAGGAGAAGAGAATTGTACAAGTTAATCTGAATGGGACTGTATTGCTCCAACTATACTTAGGCAGTTTGGATATTCCATCGTCTCGTTCATTTCTGCTGTATGGAAATTTGCAAGAGATTGAGAAGAAGAGACAAAAATTAGTGTTTTCAAAGTATATTTCATAAAGGAAATCCCCCTGTAAGATATGACCAAATTTACAGAGCGAGTAGGCCCTCTCTAGTATTTGTTTCCATTGACAGCTGGTTTAGTTCGAAAGGTGGGGTTGCTTTACATGTGGTTACAGACGGTACTTATTTTCCAATGCAGTATTTGCAGATTAAAGTATCTCAAAGCACCATCCAGATTGAAATTGATAAATTGTTTCTCAGGTTCAGCCCTCAAAGCAATATGATAATCATTGCAGAGATTTGAGTACTTAAAATTTTCAGTATCGTTGTGTGCTAATTAAGCAACACGGATGGATCTTTTAGTAACTTGTGTATTTTTTGTACTTGTCTTCTTGAGCATGGGAGTTTAAGATGGCATGCGAGTATGAACTTCAGCCTGAAATTAGCACATGCTAGGAAACAGTGTCCAGTTTATTAATAAAATATTAGGCTTTGTGTGCCCATCTTAGGTTTCTGCAAGATGGACATTTTCTTTAAGGACGAATTCAGGTGAACTTGATACAGAGGGTTCTTCTCAAAGGATTTTGTTATTTCAAAAGTTGATTGATTTTAGCTTTCTTAGACATATTTTTTAGTGAAGGCAACCTTTTGGAAGAGTGCAAGCTGGGAACTTGGTCTATTACTTGTCTTGGGTGCCTCTTGCTTGCTAGCATGGTTTTATCTCCACGGGACTACGATCATTGCTAGAGTTACAAGTCCAATTTTAAGCTGTCATTTACTGTTCTGTTTTCCTTTGATAGCGGTTTTACTGATGGTTGCTGAGAGGGGGTTGGGTTGGAATTTATTTGATTTTTTTTTGATGAATCACAAGGATGGTTATAGTTCCCCTTGCAAAAGTACACGAGGCCATGGAACATTAGTATTCAACTTCACATACAGCAAAGCGATGGGGTTATTGTAAGTTATGTAGAGCAATGTAAATTGTTTGAAAGTTAATGGGTGATAGTAATGCAGTTATCGAGGAATTTTTTGCATTCCCTTTTGGCGTCAGTAATCAACCTGTTGTGGTCATCCCCTTAAAGCTTTGCTCGTCTGGCAGATCATTTTCTCCCCTTTAGAAATACTAACTTAGCAATGTGTGTAGAAAATGCAAAATGCTCCTCAATGTCTTTCAATATTTCAGTTTTTCACGTCAGATGTTAAATGGTTCGTACTCAAGACACTCAACGAGGATTGTCGATAATAACCAGCGAGTGCACTTGGCTTGCGAATTAATATTGAAGCCTGAAGAATTCAGGCAACCCTTATTTTGATATGGTCAAGCAATATTTTACCTTAAAATTACGCAATATCTCTTTTCTACTTTAGGGATGTTAGATGTAGTTTTGGTACTCTTTATCTTTATGATATGTAACCCGATAATATATTTCGGCTATTATAGAATCTCATTTTCACTTCTCTGCGTGTTGCCTTTTCATTTATTCTCTACTGTCCTTACCAGGCCTTTCCTTTTAACAGAACTGAGGTTTAATATATCGATACTCTTAGGTGATTGGGTCTGCATGGTTTAGGTCTCTTTATCTGGTTAAAATTTTCTGCCACGTTCTTAAAGAGATTAGAATTTCTAATGAGGGCAATTTTTATGCTCTTTTGTGGTGATATGAAGCATTTTATTATTACACCACCACAGCAAATGTTCGTCCTTTTGTGAATTTTGATTTTCCATTTTTTGTTCGATCATCTAATCTATATATTTGGTATTTTTATCAGTCGAATTGACTATTCTTACTAGTTATCAGTCATGAAGAGCTAAAACATGTATATTCAGTAAAAAGTGATGGATGGCTTATGATTGGCTTCCTTGGTCTCTCTATACTCGCCATCTGCCATTGCTTAACTAGATGCTACTCTTTCTTGATGACAATCCAACGGCCTTTTGTTTTCGTCCTAGTTTGTGGCTGTATCAACCAACTGAATTGTATTTGCATTTTAACCAGCGGGAAGTAGAATTTCAATGTTTATTGGGCTATGGGTAAATAAAATGACTTGAAACGAACGACCGTAAATTTCTCTTAGAATCCTAGTCCACAGCTTTATCTGAGCATTCAACGAGCAACTCGTAAGAAACCGGGTGCACGAACGACGACGTTGACAAGAGCTTTCACAAATAAATTTTTCAATTTTGTGCGTTTGGGCTAACGTTCGGCCAGCAGTTTTTTTTTCCTTTCCTTTTTTCTCCAATACGAGTAATAGTTTTCCAATGATTGCCCTGGGGGTGCACATGGGCAGATTGGCCGGCGACATTTCTGCCAATCGCGTGAAGCTGACTTTTCCAATTTGTGGACTTTTGACAATTGACGACGCATTAGTGTTCCATCCGTTGCAGTGGGACACTAGCCAAATGAAAGTGGTCAAAGTCTGGCAATCTTCTTGTAATTGATTCAATCAATTGTAACTGAAGGTTGTAATACAGCAATCAAGAAACAGAAGAAATAAACTGAAAAGCACTTGATGTCATGTGTTAAAGCGAAAAAACGGCAGCCCAAATAGTAGAAAAATTTTCCATTTAATTTGGATCCATCAATTTTTCAAAAATTAATTTTTTGAATATTATAAAATTTGTAAAAAGTAATCTAAAAGGTATTCTAAAAAGTAGTTTAAATTTTTTTAATGTTTAAAAAACTCTACTATTTTTAAATTTTCCAAAATATATAATAAAAATATTTCAAAATATACTCTAAAAATTCTACTACAGTAAAATTTTTCAAAAACACCTCCTAAAAACAGCTAATTTAGATGAACTGAAAGTTGAAAACTGTAGGGAGGGGTTTTTATTGCTTGTAGAAATTATGCAGTCTCTCAGTGCTTTGAATGATTAAACAATCACTGGTGCAAAATTATGTCGTGATGGGATGCAAACTCTCTTAAATTCTTGGCTCCTTCGGATGCGTGATGCACCTCTGGTGGTCGTGACTTCTGTGACCACCAACAGCTGATAAAACGTACATCATTTTCTTTTCCTGTTCTAAAGTTGAAAAATCATTGGAGGAGGCCGGAAATGAAAATAAAGAATCAAAGATGACAAAGGACTCTTTCCCTCCTTCAGAACAAATTATACAACAACAAATTCTCGCTGTGGTCCTTGTTGTGTAGTGTTGTGGTTTCGTTGGCTCGCCCATTGTCTTGCTGCGTGCAGACAATCTTTTGCCCCGATCATCGGCAAATGGCTAGGGACATGTCTTGCAAAGTCCTGACATTGTGAGTTGGCATTTTGGTTGTCTTTGTTGCAAGCGCGACATCGAATTCTGTGAGCCCTTAAGCTAAGCCGTCACGCGACTCCAAGTATAGAGCCGCCCTTAAACCTTTTTTTTTTTTTTTTGGGCTGTGGGGGTTGGGGGGGGGGGGGATGAAAAATTTAAGATTACGTGGTGATAAACACAATTTGTTCAATCAATCCTCACACATTGACAAAGAATTATATGGTTCACGGAATATGCAACGTACCTTTTGAATCGGGGAAAAATGGAAAATAGTCCTTTTTTTTTTTTAAAAAAAAAGAGCTAGTATTTAAATAATATGAATCCTTTTAGCATTAAAGAACATTTATTTACTTGGTGCAGCCGTTCACACTAAGAGTCAACCCTTCAATTAGGGCTGTAATCGAGTCGAGTCGAGCTCGACTATCGCCATACTCGAGCTCGACTCGACATACAAGAAAGGTGCTCGAGCTCGAGCGTGTAGTATTATTGGAGCTTGGGCTCGAGCTCGAAACTTGCTCGCAATACTCGAGCCTTATCGAGCTCGGTCGAGTTCGAGTTACTAAATTTCATTTTCTTGATAATTTTTGCACGAAAAGATATTATTGCCCTTTTAAAATTTTTATACGATTCAAAACATTTTGTAAATTCAACAACTCTTTTGGGTATAAGAGTAATTTTATAATAATAATAATATATTAAATAATTAAAATTAAAAGGCTCGATAAGGCTCGACGAGCCTTCGAGCATCGCTTTTGGATGCTCGAACTTGACTCGTTTAGCTTATCGAGCTACTCGAATTCGGTCAACCCGAGTTCGAGTCAAGCTTTTGACTGAGTTCGCGAGCCGCTCGGTTTGATTACATCCTTACCTTCAATATCAACGGTGTTGGGAAGTAATCAAGAGAAAGAACAATTATACCTATTATAAGAAGAGTATACCAGTCAGCATGACATCAACGGATCCGTGGCGCAATGGTAGCGCGTCTGACTCCAGATCAGAAGGTTGCGTGTTCGATTCACGTCGGGTTCAAAACCTCGGTTTCCACCGGATCCTACCTTTTTGCCCTTTTTTTTTTTTTTTTTTTTGGTAGGAAAGACTTGCATAAATAATAAGGAAAACCTTTTTGCCCTTTGAATGAACTCGGGCCTACATATCAATTGGTTTTTGACTCGTGCACAAAAAGTTCAACAGCGTCAGCTGTGCACAAAAGTTCAACAGCAACACACACACACACACACATATATATATATATTAATTTTTTGAGATTTAAACTGTAAACTAGACATAATAAGTCAAAAAACCAACAGAAAAAAGGAAAACAGAATTATAAACGGTACGGGGTGATACTCGAATAAATCCCAACATGCATCAACAACTCAAAATGGATATACAGTGCCCTAACCTTTCAATTTGAAGACGTATATTGGTTGAAAGAATGGGTATATCATCTGTTGCCAATTAAACAGTGGATTAATACATTAACAATCTGGTGTACAAAAAAAAAATTCAAATTTAAAGTGGAATTAAATAACATGCATTCAAATGTAATAATGTATACGCTGTCAATATATACATGATAAATGCTTAAAAGAAAAAAGAATTGATATATTATCATCCAACAAAAGAAGCGGACAATGAGACATTGGTTTAGGGGTCAAAATCTTAAATTCTTTTCACATTTTATGTGAGTTAGTTTGAAATAATATTGAATTATGATTTCTACCATTTTGCAGGTTACTTTATAATATGTGTTTATTATTCTCACTGTTGTGGATCTTTGTAATCCTAAAAAAAATTAAAAACAAAAAGCAAAATCGCAACTTTCAACCTTTTTTTAAAAAAAATCTTGTTTTACTTTTAGAAATTGTCGGGACGTGAATTGGCTTGCCATTTTAATAAACAAAAGACTAACTTTTTTTTTTTATTTCCCATCTTTAAATACAAAGTATATTTGTTATTCTGTAGGTTGGTTTGTGTTGTTATTGAATCATAATTCTTACCACTTTTATGGGTTATTCTGCATTATAAGTTATTTATATTACTCTCACTATCGTGATTTTAATGTGATATAACAATTTCAAAAATAAAGCTTAGAATTAGGGGTCTAAATTAACCAAATTACTCGACTTGGGTTAGTGAGTAGCTTGAACAAAGACTCGATTTGAACTTGGCATTTATCGAATTCGAGTCGAGTTCGAACCACTTAATAAGGTAATCGAGTCGATTTCAAGTAAAAAAAGAAAATCAAAACTTGAGTACTCGTTGAGCTTTATCGAGTAGTATATTTATAATATAATTTTAATTATTTATTATAAAATT